GAGCAATGTTCCTATTATTATGAGTAATCCATCTCTTTTTTTATGTCTTAGGACTGCTAGTTTTGTGCAATTACAGTTCAGTTATTTAGCCTATTAGCTGAATATCTGTCAGCTTATTGCTTACTATTTTACGTTATCTTTTCATGTGTGACTAGGCGGATTAGCCTCAAATGTACGTGACATGACTACTATTAATTATACTGTGTTTTCTTAAGACTGACTAGCTGTACAGGCGACCCCTCAGCTAGTTAATTTGTTAAACAAATAAATCAGGCAGATGCAGTGTACTTTTACACCATGCAGAGCTAAATCTGACTAAATTAGAGGATAAAGTCTGTTACTAAGAAGAAGCTTGATTAGAAGATCTTGTTTAAGCATGCACTATTTCTGATTAAAAAATGATTTTATATAAATATATGAATATAAATTAGCTGTCTCAGTGAGAAAGCATTAAGATTAGAGTCTCTCTTCATTTCTGTTTCCATACAAATACACATGTCTGTTTATTGATTGATTGAGCTGCAGTGTCTTATGGTCTTGTACTTACACTGAAACATGATAAACTATGTGAGGAATAATGTCAATGGTTTTATGATAGAGGTTACTCTACAAAATGGATTAAAGAAGCTGCAGCTCGTTTTGAAAATATGGATCAAAAACAATCCTTGGTTCGAAAATCATAGAAACAAAGATTTCTTATATTATTCAGTATTCGGCTTTAAGTAACGAGTTTGCAAATATAGTACAAAAACATTGGCCAAATTTGAAATTTAGATTCTGCTTTGAGACACTGTTGTAAAGATCCTCCATGAATTGTTTTTAAACGAGCCCTTAACTTGTTAGTGAGAGCGGATCAAGGTTCTGAACATTCTGATAATCCTTTCTCAGTCCCTGAAGGTAATTATAGATGTGGTCAATGCGCACAGTGTAACTTTACAACTATATTTCAGTTTTTTTTTTTGTCATCCCCATTCAGTTAAGCTTCTGAAGATTAAAGGTGTGATTTCTTTAAAGGTGCAGTAGGTGATCTGCCAAAATGCAAACCGCTTAGCATATTATCTTTGGACGCGGGGAGGGACTGTGATTCAAAGCCACACCCCCTGAAATCGTGAATGCGTGCACCGCGTCACAACAGCAGACAGACAACCCACTAGTCCATGTCATTTACCAGTTAGTGTTTAGCCAGCGCCGTGCAGGAATTACATTTATTACTTAGCCACACTTATATGCTATTTCTGAGCGAATATTCAGAGTAGCATGGTAAACAGTACAGGAGGGCTGTCATTGTTAAAAAAATGACCCAATGTGAATATAAAAGCAACTTCAGCTCAATAAAGCAGGTTAGGCGGAATATTTTGTTGCTAAATTTAACAAAAATCTACATTAACGATGCTGTAAAAGGACCTTATAAAACTGAAAATAATCACATCAATCGGGAGATTTCAGTGGCTGAACAACACGTTTGTGCATATAATTCATTCATAACAACACAATCTAACATAAGCTTAGCCTGACTAAAATAGTTTTAAAACAGAACATTACCTGTCTAATAGTAATACTTCAGCCATGGTGTCGTCCTTCCTCCAGCGTGCTAAAGTAACTCCAATATTGATTCAGGTTTTTAAAAGTTTCAATTCAGCATTTGATTTCTCCCAGTCTGTCTTGTGACCTTGCAGAAACGCCAACCGAGCACAGAAATGCCAACCAGCGAACCATTCGAACCAGCGACCTTCTTGCTGTTAGGCGACAGCACTCCCTACTGCGCCACAAAAAATGTTTCTGAAGACAATCAACTACTGCACCTTTAAATTTAAATTTGGATTCTGATTTGAAATCTTTTTTGTAATTGTATGTATGTCTCTCATATTGACATACTGTATTCAAAAAATCCCGTTTACTGGCTTGTTGGTAGATTGATGTGATTATTTGTTGCAGGTGTAATGCGTTATATTACTAAATACTTTGTCTCTGAAGAAGTTTAAATTTGGATGTTTATTTGAAATCTTTTTTGTAACTGTATGTATGCATCTCATATTGCCATATGTATTATGTTGCATGTGTGTGTGTTTGCTTACTGGCTTGTTGGTTGATTGGGGTGATTATTGTTTGCAGGTGTGATGTGTAGAGCTGTACTACTATTTCTTGAGTTCTCCAATTGTCTTATTTACCCTGATGAAGACCATGTAGGTCGAAACGTTGTTATATATAAAAAAAATTATCATTAGAAATGACACTAGAAATTAGTAATTATAATTGCAATTTAAAACCTGAAAAACACTATCAATTTTTAAATGCAAATCAGGACCGGGGGGGCCCAAGTCGGAGCACTCACTCTGGTCCCCTATGCTCTGAGCTGCTTTGGGAAATTTTAAGTTGAACCAAAACACTTGATTACAGCTGGCTTAAGATTGGCAAGCTAAATTCAGGACCATGCAACCTGCAGAACCTGGGAACTTAAAAAAAATACAAATAAATTTAATTACAAATCAATGGTGTTGATAAAGCAAAACATAATAAATCTGCAACATTTATTTACAAGTGTTTATCTTATGAGGGACTTAAATTACCCATAATAAAATCTCATATAAAGTGCGCAGTATAACTGAATATTTGAAAAATATTTTTGTCCATTTCTCAGTGAATATAGGTCATATATTTTGGTGCATTTGAACAAAACAGATTTATTAAAAATAATATTTTTGTCACCTAACATCTTTAGAAATAGAACGATTATATTCATGCAAAATATTGGGAAACTACAAAATATCAACCAAATTTTATAAATGTTTTGTTTCTCTTAAATTTTGCTCTTTTTAAATTCTATATTTAATATTTTCCCCTAACATATACAATTGGGTGTACTAATTCTGAACCATTATTATAAATTATTTTGTTAGACTAGCTCCAGATTTGGCTTTAGTACTCATTAATCTAATGTATAATATTGTAAAGCTTCCTATAAAAACTATCATTTAAATGAGAGATTTGTGAAGGGTGTATATATATGTTCAGCACTGTATGACTATATATATGCAAATGACATATATGACATACAAGTTGTGTATGTAGTGAAATCATTCCAATTTATGCTGAAAACTTCAAATTGGATTTAATCTTTTGACATGCACACACTGGATGAATAAATCTTTTCTTTCTTTCCTGCTTTAACTTTTCTTTGTTTGTTTTAAAGAAGCAGACTTGAAGTTGAAGTGAAGCGGTCGGTCAAGTTTACATTCTTTTGTAATATGATTTTCACTTTAATGATAATCTGCGTACAATATAACTTTTTTTTTATTTTAAAAATGACATGTTTTGCTTTAGCTTTTAAAGCATGGGCACTATCGTCTCGACATACAGCAGTGTCTGATGATACAGGGTTGGTTGCTTTTGCAAAGGTGAATATGCTCAGTAGAAGTAATGGACTGACCAAAATTTGGACTGGAAGGACAAGTTTGACCTAACGCACTAAGCCATCGCAGAGCTGGTTCAAGACAAGCATTTATACTTTTTTTTTTTTTACTGTTTTTAGAAAATGAAAGATTGTTTTGTTTTGCTTTACTTTGTTCCATTATCTGTATCACACCAGTCCAGTGCTGCCTGACTAGCAGATTCATATTAAGTCTAAGGATGCAATAGACGATCCATGACTTCACACTTAACTAAGTTACATCTGTTTGGTTTATGTCGAGACATTCTTTTGTCCGAAATGTATGAAGGACTTATAAAAACTGCCTTGTGAAAAAATGTGCCGAACTCAGCTTGAACACCAACAGGGGTATCAAGTGGAAGCATATAGGTTCTGCCTCCCTGCCATCGGTTACTAGACATTGTTGAATGCCAGACACAGGCAATGCTGGACAGAGAATGGAACAAAGAAAAAGAAAAATATGTTGTTGCAGATTCAGTTTAAGTCAACAAAATTTCTAAAGAAAAAATGAAGTGTGAGCTAACTATCTGCTCTTGAAACTCCAACTGGAAAATTGATTTTTTAAAAAAGTGTCAAATAATGACTATATTAATATGCTTTATAACATATGTCTAAATTAATAAACTTAATTCCTGGAGGGCCACAGCTCTGCACAGTTTTTCTCCAGCCCTAATCAGACACCTGATCCAACTAATCAAGGTGTTAAAGACTACTCTTGAACACCTTGATTATTTGGATCAGCTGTGTTAGAATAAGATCAGAGCAAAACTATGCAAAGCTGTGGCCCTCCATGAATTGAGTTTGAGACCTACGGTACAGTATGCTTTATAAGAAAATACTAATACAGTTTTTCTTGACTGATGTCAATTTTAATCTTTTCCATGATTGACTGACATTTGAATTATTGATCAATTAATAGATTAATCAGTAATTTTAATGCTTTAACACACGCTTATTGGAAATATGTGCAAAGTGCTTCAGCTTACATATTTGTAAAACTTTAAAAACATACTTATATAAATGTTTGAATGCAGTTTATAAGTAAAATGAAAGCTATTGGGCAGTATTACGCAAACAACGTTTGTTCCTTAACACACTAATGATATTTAAAGTAATATATTATCAATAAACCTCTTTCAAAATTACCTCTTTCAACAACACTGCATAGATAAATAACAATAAAAAAAAAACTTTAAACATGTCCATGAACTAATATAGAATATGTTTGCCTTATCTGTCTATCTCTATATGGAGAACTTTCCCGATGTGGTCAGTTTTCTCGGAAGCTCACATTGTATGTTGTACTTGTGATGTAGAGAACTCTGGAGTCTGGTGAAGCATGATACTACAAAAGTGATTAAAGCAATAAAAAACTATGTGATCGCAGAGCACATTTGTCTGACGTTTGCTTTTGAAAACAGTAAGTTTACATGGACACCAATGATCCAATTTTATTCCGATTAAGACAATACTCTGATTAAGAGTAAACAGCGATTTATGATTACCTTAATCCGAATAAAGTCATAATCGAACTAAACAGAAACATGTGGAGTATGCTAATATTAGTCGCATTATTGAAGTGCAGTACAGACATGTAAACACCGCAATCAAACTGTTATCGTCATTTCTGACTTTTTGCCATGTTTTGCGACAGGATAGTCCATACACACTATTCTCTGCATCTACCGACCACAGACACCTGCATTGCAAAATGCAGAGGTTTCTTTTCCCATACGGCGTGCAGTATCAAATTATATTAAAATATGAACTTCCAGCAGCATACTTGCATGATATATCTCGTTTGTCACAGGGGGCATGCATAAAATGCTCCTGAATATACTGTAAGTGAAAGTGCCAAACTGCAGTTAAAGTCGACAAACTATAAACAAAACACCCAAAAAAAACACGAAAATCTGAAGGAAATGCGGATAGCGTGATGACGCAATGCATTAATCGAATTATGTGCAATAACATGTAAAACATGCATTCAAAATGCAAATCATATAAACACCTTAATCATATTATCGTCTTATTCAGATTAAGGCAAATATTTCGATAACTGATGTCCATGTAAACGTAATCACTGTTGGGTTTTGGTCTGTGGCTTGCTGGGCGAACTGTACAACAAGCTAAACCTTCTCACAAACGTGTAGAAGAAATTAAGACTTTTATCTAAAACATATAACGAAAACCCCCTAAGTAAATTATTATTCACTGAGGTACATATTTCTAATTAATCTGTAATAATGTGATGTGTCTAGTTCAGAAGTACATTGTCACTAGCATGACAGCGTGCTATTGACACTCAAAAATGCAAGGATCCTCACCCAAAGTGAAAAGTTTTTTTCAGTAAGTAAAAAGATAAGACTGTTAAAAGAGTCAGATGCATAATTTAATAAAACCATTTAATGAATAAATATAAATATAATGACTAACTTACAGTTCCTCAGATGTACACACTGGCGACTGGTGTATGTTTGGATCCATGTGTTTTTATTATTTTAAGTGTGTTTAATAGTCAAATCTGTACATTAAGGAAAATCTGGAAGATGTGAAATGGCCAACATTAGTCACGAATGTCCAAGATGCATTAAAGGCTTATGCTATTTAGTTATTAGCCCACTTCATTCGCCTTCATGCAGAATAAAACTTCCCACAGATCAAATTTTATATTATATGATCATAATCTAAATGCACCAATTGAGGTAGATAATATTTAAAGGCATAGTTCACCCCAAAAATGAAAATTCTGAAATAATTCTGAAATGAAACTCATTATTTACTTGTTCCAAACTTTTTTTTTGTCCTCTCTTATACACAAAAGAAGATATTCTGATGAATCTTGAAAATTTACATCCACTGACTTCCATAGTATCTTTTGTTCTACTAGGACATCTATAGCTACAGTTTTTTAACCTTCTTCGAAATATCTTCATTTGTGTTCAACAGAAAAACAGAAACTCATAAAGCTTTAGAAATGCTTGAGGGTGAGTAATTGATGAGTAAATTTTTCTTTTGTGGTAAACTATCCCCTTAATGGTCTGATAATGATTTTCACAACACGATGACCCCGGGCGGTAAACTGATAAGTCGTTCTGCTTCTCCTAGCATACCAGAAATCATTCTCTTGCATTTGCTGTAAGTTTTGCATGTGAGCACTTCAAAACTATTCATGTTAGTGACATCCATGTTTAGTCAAAACTCAATATTATGTACTAATTTAATCATTTGTTAGCCTCCCATCAAATAATGATTTGCAGTTCAAGGTATTACCTGCTGCATATTTGTGCTAATTGTAAAATGCACTATTTCCGAGCGCAAACAAGTTTTTTTTTATTTATCTCGAGATATCCCTTTAGCTTCTAGTATTGAAAGACATGCCGTTAGATAGATTATCTTAAAAACTGAGATGGTAAACACGTAAATCTTCGAAGGAACCATTGCTCCATGGCTTTGGCAGTGCGTGTACCACTTATCTGATCAGTCCAGTCCTGAGTCCAGGTCAACACGCAGGTTTTTTTTCCAGTGGAACTTGTCTGTTTTGAAGGTTAATTGCTACAAACCTAGGGACCTGAGATCCTCCCCTTCTCCCAGCGATGGCTGTCCCACTCGGGGTAAAGTTCCAGGGGCATGTGGGATGTGTTGGTGATGTTGTGGATGAGGTGTCTCCAGGCTTTGCGAGCGGGTCCGGGCGACTGCACTGTGTGGAGAAAGGGTCAGTAACGGCTGTCTGAATCTGTCCATATGTGGTGTTGTGGAAAGTGCAATGGGAAAGGAACCCGGAGATGTGGTTGGGCAGAGCACCTGTAGTTCTTGTGGTCTGAGTGGAAGCGATATAAGGCCTCCAGGATGTATTCCGGGGTGCATCGGCGAAGGAAAATTTGGGCTGGACCAGGATGAGCCCTGGCCTTGGAAGGGGACGGGAGGAGAGGGATGTCCCGAGGTAAAGGTGGATGTGTAGACACCTGGTGTTTGTGGTGAAGCCATCATGGATTCGATGAGAAAGGCAAGACTCCGCATGACTCGTCCCAGTTCAGCCACCTCTCGTCCCAGGGAACTCACCTGTAACACACATAACCGTTAACAAGTGTCACTTTTGACATTGACATTCATTAGGAAACAGCGTTAGAGCCCTATCATACAACCGGTGCAATTCGGCGCAAGCCGCAACGCAATTGTTGTTTGGTATTGGTATTGCTTGGCGCAAGAGTCGTTTTGACTTTGTGCACCACGCTGTTTAAATAGCAAATTCATTTGCGCTCATGTGGTCGCCCATAGGCATTCTGGTCTAAAAAGGGAGGCGTGTTAAGGCGCATTGCTGGTGCGGTACTATTTTAAGGAACTTATATAGACTGTTGCATAAAAAAAAATTCAAAATGTAAAAAATTCAGATGTATGAAACACTGCGTACGCCGAATCCTACGCATATTCTATTTGTACATCCGAATTAACTTGAAACTGAGCGCACTTGCACGAGTGCAAACCCCTTCCCTGTCTCTCCCAATATGAATATGCTAATGAATCTACTTTGGCATAACCAAATGAAAAAGTGTTACATCCCGTGACTGTTTTATTTTTGTTTCTATATTGCAGTTTTTCTCCTTTGTTTTTTTGATTACTCTTGTTAATTAATTAATTAATATACGATCCAAACCATATATTGTGTTGCCCTCACCCCACCCCACCCCTAAACCCAACCATCACAGGAGACTGTAGGATTTATAAGAAGCTTTTTGAGAAACGAGGACGTTACCAATGTCTTCGTATTTCACCTCTTTTTTGTAACACCTGTGTCATACCCATGTCATTATACAGATTTGTGTCCGGATATGTCACAAAAACACGTACACACACACACACACACACACACACACACACACACACACACACACACACACACACACACACACACACAATATAAAGCTTATTCCAAAATATTTTCCTTTAATATTTTAAATGTGTAACACCTGGTTTTATTGAATTTTTTATTTTAGCTGTTATATACTATTGCTGTTTGGTACAGCATATTATTTACAGTAAATAACTGCACTGAACTATTATGCCTCATATGTTTCATTGACAGTTTTATTGATCACTATGATATGATTGATTTGGATTTACATTGCTTCGATTTTAAAAATGTGAAGACCGACGAATGTAAAGACCTTCGACTCTACCTTTGCCATTGACTCTACCTGTGCGACTCCATCGAGCAAAGACACCAACAAAGCACTTGAGTACGCTACTTTCTTGTTTTACTTCATCTTTACACTTATTTTTTGTTTTCATTGCACTTTTATTATGTGTTTTCTAATTCCTGTTGTTACTAACACTCGCAAAACATGGGAGGTACGCTGCAGGCGTATCTGCTATTTCACAACTCTCTCTCTTCGTGGGCCCTCTGGAATTGTCAATCAGCTGTTAACAAGGAAGATTTTATTACCTCCATAGCTACATATTCTGACTATAATCTCATGGCTCTAACTGAGACCTGGTTGAGGCCGGAGGACACTGCTACACATGCTACTCTTTCTGCTAATTTCTCTTTTTCCCACACTCCTCGTCAGACAGGGAGAGGGGGTGGGACTGGACTACTGATTTCCAAAGAATGGAAATTTACTCTGAGACCGTCTCTGCCAACAATCAGCTCCTTTGAATTCCATGCAGTCACCATTATCCACCCCTTCTACATAAATGTGGTTGTCATCTACCGCCCACTGGGTCCATTAGGTCACTTCTTAGATGAACTGGATGTTCTTCTCTCATCTTTTTCTAATGATGACACTCCCTTGTTGGTGCTAGGTGACTTCAACATTCACATTGAGAGACTGCAAGCTCCTGACTTTCAGACTCTGCTTTTACCTCAAAAGAGCACCTACTTCTGCTACCCACAAATAAGGTAATCAGCTAGACCTTATTTACACACGACATTGCTTCGCTGATCAAACACTAGTAACTCCACTACAAATATCGGATCATTTCCTTCTGTCCCTCAACATCCACATAACTCCTGAGCCACCACACACTCCAACACTGGTTGCCTTTCGCAGAATTCTACGCTCTCTCTCACCCAATAGACTATCCACCATTGTTTCAGACATTGTTTCAGACTCTCTTCCTCCATCTTGCAAACTCTCTACGAACAGTGCCACTGATACATTCTGCTCCACACTAGCATCATGTCTAGACAGATTATGTCCTCTTGCATCCAGGCCAGCCCGTGCCAGTCCTCCTGCACCCTGGCTCTCGGATGCTCTCTGTGAGCATTGCTCAAAACTTCGGGCTGCAGAGAGAATTTGGCGGAAAACTAAAAATCCTGCACAGCTCTTAACATACCAAACTCTTCTGTCTTCTTTCTCGGCTAAAGTTACTTCTGCAAAGCAGACATATTTCCATCAGAAAATCAACAATGCCACTAATCCTCGCCTACTTTTTAAAACATTTTCCTCCCTCCTCTATCCTCCTCCTCCTCCCAGCATCCTCCACACTTGCTACTGATGACTTTGCTACATTCTTTTGCACCAAAACTGCAAAAATCGGTTCTCAATTTTCTGCACCTAAAACAAACACACAAGATACACCACCAACACCACACACACTCACCTCTTTTTCTCAGCTCTCTGAGTCTGAGGTGTCCAAACCTGTGCTATCTAGCCATGCAACCACCTGTCCACTTGATCCCATTCCCTCTCATCTCTTGCAAGCCATCTCTCCTGCAGTCATACCAACACTGACTCACATAATTAACACATCTCTTGACTCTGGTTTATTCCCCACTTTATTTAAGCAGGCTAGGGTAACCCCACTGCTAAAGAAACCTAACCTGGACCATACGCTACTTGAAAACTACAGACCAGTATCCCTGCTTTCATTCATGGCCAAGATTCTGGAGAAATTAGTGTTCAATCAAGTCCTGGACTTTCTTACTTAAAACAATCTCATGGACAACAAGCAATCCGGCTTTAAGAAAGGCCACTCAACTGAGACTGCCCTGCTCTCGGTCGTGGAGGATCTCAGACTGGCTAAAGCAGACTCAAAATCATCAGACCTCATCTTGCTGGACTTGTCAGCTGCTTTTGACACTGTCAATCACCAGATCCTGCTATCTACGCTCGAGTCACTGGGTGTTGCGGGCACTGTTATACAATGGTTCAAATCTTACCTCTCTGACAGGTCATTCAGGGTGTCTTAGAGGGGAGAGGTGTCCAACCTACAGCTTCTAAACACTGGGGTACCTCAAGGCTCTGTTCTTGGGCCACTTCTCTTCTCCATCTACACATCATCTCTAGGACAAGTCATCCAGAAACATGGATTCTCCTACCACTGCTATGCTGATGATACCCAGCTATACCTCTCTTTTCATCCTGATGATCCCTCGGTTCCAGCTCGCATCTCTGCCTGCCTGTTGGACATTTCACACTGGATGAAAGATCATCATCTTCAGCTTAACCTCGCAAAAACGGAAATGCTTGTAGTTTCTGTCAACCCGACTCTACTCCATAACTTTTCAATCCAGATGGATGGGGCAACCATTACTGCATCCAAAATGGTGAAAAGCCTTGGAGTAACGATTGATGACCAACTAAACTTCTCTAACCACATTTCTAGAACTGCTCGATTGTGCAGATTCATACTCTATAACATCAGAAAGATCCAACCCTTCTTATCTGAACATGCAGCTCAACTCCTTGTTCAAGCTCTTGTTCTCTCCAAACTGGATTACTGCAACTCTCTACTAGCCGGGCTTCCAGCTAACTCTATCAAGCCTCTTCAGCTGCTCCAGAACGCAGCAGCACGAGTGGTCTTCAATGAACCTAAAAGAGCACATGTCACTCCGCTGCTCTTCCGTTTGCACTGGCTGCCAGTTGCTGCTCGCATCAAATTCAAAGCTCTGATGTTTGCCTACAAAGCGACTTCTGGCTTTGCTCCTTCTTATCTGCTCTCACTTCTGCAGATCTATGTGCCCTCCAGAAACTTGCTTTCTGTGAATGAACGTCGCCTTGTGGTTCCATCCCAAAGAGGGAAGAAATCACTTTCGCGAACGCTCGCGTTCAATCTGCCCAGTCGGTGGACTGAACTCCCTAACTGCATCAGAACGGCAGAGTCACTCGCTGTTTTCAAGAAACGACTAAAAACTCAACTATTTAGTCTCCACTTCACTTCCTAATCTGCAATTGCCTCTCTGGATATACCACTAACTGTACTAAAAAAAAAAAAAATACTAATACTTTCCTTCTTAGACTTTACAGACCTGAAACTTGCCTATAGCACTTATTCATTGTTGCTCTTATAGTTGTGTAAATTGCTTCCTTGTCCTCATTTGTAAGTCGCTTTGAATAAAAGCGTCTGCTAAATGATTAAATGTAAATGAAAATGTAAAAATGAAAATTGTAAAAATAGCTTAGATGTAGATGTAAGCTTGCTACATTTCCCAGGGGGTAGCTTTTAGTGTAGTTAAGCTAGATTTTAAGTAGAGTGGCTAATAGCTTAGTTCACTAAATTTTTCAAACAGCTTGCCCAACACTTCCCTGTATACATTTCAGGAGAGTGCAAAATACACCCTAGGAGGTATGCTTTTTTATGCGCTTTTGTTTTCACGAATCCATCAGAGGCCATTGAGTACGCTTTTGAAATCTCAAATTTCTCCATCGAATTGCCATTCGCACCGGCTCAAGGCTCGAGTCTCAAGGCTGCTGACATACACGGCGTGTCATTGGGCAAACTGGTAACAGGGAAAAAGCAGTCAGCTGGTAGCGCAAAAATAAACAAAAGCCGTTGGCAGCATCATACCACCTCATAGCGTCCGGTTGAAAGACGAAATGCAGTCAAACGTAGCTCTGGCTAAATAATTTGTGTATTCACAATGAGCCTGTGTTGGAATGATTGCTGAACAGAAGCGGAGCATTATTTATTACTGTATAATATAGTGTAATGATGTTTAATTATTTATTCAAAATACTAAATCCTACTGTTATTTTTTATTTCCATATCATTATTTTATATTTCAGAGGATTTAAACTCTGGACAATTTCTTAAGCTCATTAAAATATAATATTATACAC